TATCCTCTGCATATAACAATTATATACAATGTTTAAAGTTACATTTAAAAAAAATCTAGAGATTTTGATATTTATAAAACATCACATGTATGCAAAACAATATTGAAAAAATTCCTCATTTCATTGATAATCAGCAAAATATTTACATCTTATTTGATTTACGGGCATATATTCCAACAATCTCCCACTTGCCCTAAAGCAAATGAGGCATGTCTCTAAGTCCCATACTTTCAAGATGTCTCTCAAAACTCCCAGAATCAGTATATCCAATAGGAATCAAATCCCTACCAGAGTATACAAGCATATGGTTTCTCATCTTCCTCAAATATTGAGTTTGTGTTTGACTGCAACCCAATAATCTAATCCTGAGTTTGACTGGTATCTGCTAACCAAACTGCATAGCATATGTCAGGTCTAGTACATAGCATTGCATACATCAGGCTACCAACTGCCGATGCATAGGGAACTCGTCTCATATCCTCTTCCTCTTGAGGTGTCTTTGGACACTGCTCCTTGGAGAGATAAACTCCATGTCGAGAAGACAAATTTCCTTTCTTGGAGTTTTGTATCGAAAACTTGACAAGCACCTTGTCAATATACGATGCCTGAGACAATGCCAAAAGCCTATTCTTGCGATTCCGGATAATTTGGATCCCAAGAATATAGTTGGCTTGTCCCAAATCCTTCATTTGGAATTGGCTGGCTAGCCAGTTCTTTACTTTGGATAATGATTCTACTTCATTCCCAATGAGCAGAATGTCATCTACGTAAAGAACCAAGAAGACCACTTTATCCCTTGAATTTGCTTGTAGACATAAGGTTCACCAAGATTTTGTTCAAAACCATAAGATTTTATAGCTTCGTTAAATCTGATGTTCCAAGATCTAGATGCTTGCTTTAGTCCATAAATGGACCTCTGCAATTTGCAGACTTTCTGCTCTTGGCCTTCTACCACGAAACCCTCTGGTTGGACCATATGAATGGTCTCTTCAAGATGGCCGTTCAGAAACGCCGTCTTGAAATCCATTTGCCATATCTCATAGTCATAATGAGCAGCAATGGATAAGAGTATGCGGATGGATTTTAGCATGGCTACAAGGGAAAAAGTATCCTCATAGTCTACTCATTCCTTTTGGGCAAAACCCTTTGCAACCAATCTTGCTTTGAACGTTTCAACTTTTCCATCAGCTCCTCTCTTTCTCTTATAGATCCATTTGCAACCAATAGGCTTAACGCCTTCTGGTAGGTCTATAAGCTCCCAGACAGAATTGGAGTACAAAGATTCCATTTCAAGTTTCATGGCTTCTTGCCATTTTTCTTGATCAATATCATCCATTTCCATCATTTATGACGATGGATCATCTTCACAGCCATCGATGACTGCAACATTTGCTTCTCCATTTTCACGATAGCGGGTTGGCAATCTTATTTCCCTCCCACTGCGTCGTGGTGGCGGTGGTGTTTGATCATGGTTAGTGGTCTCCCTTCTTTGTCATCCAACAACTGTTGTCGGCATGGGGCTAATCTGATCAGCCACCAACTCTTCCAGAACTATCTTGCTTCTGGGCTTGAAATGTGCCATATAGTTATGCTCAAGAAACATAGC